TGTAGATGACACTGAACCCCTGACTGTCCCTCTTCTACCTCCACAGTACTGAGACAAGGCCTGCATAACCACACCAATTTGAAGGTACTTTTCAAACTAGAACTTGGTTAGGTTGTTACGGCATCAACAGTTTGTTTTTGTTTTCAAAGAAAAATCAAAGTTGGGATTTTAATGAGCTGTGAACCCTACCTGAAAGACAGATAAAAAGCTACAAAAGAGGGAGTGTTGAGTAGTGTGAGTTAATTTTGGGGAAACTTGTTTAGGATATAATCTAGTGGTACCATCTTTCTTCTCGGCTGTGATTAGCCAAGAAATAATCTTTATTAACATTTCTTTTGATCACCTTTTGAGGAATACTCCAAGGTCAGTTGTCATCTGGTCATAATATCCATGAAAACCGCCTGGTAGTCTACCAAGTTTGATTACAATAAATAGAAGTCAATTGGTTGTAAGAAAGAACACAATCACTTTGTTTATTCCCTCAGGCTACCTGCTAGATTTAGGGGTGCAGAATTAGATTATGGCCATACTTGTTTGTAACCCTTTTCTAAAGCACAGTGGCTTGCTTATTGTCTAGAAATGGAACCACATTCATTAATGTAATCACTGAATTTTGTAGAAATGGTGTATTGTACTATCTAGAATAAGACCTCTACCAATTAAATAACGTAACTCCATTCTGGTTATGGGAATGATCTGCCAGGTCTAAGTACTGTCAAGCTAAAAGAAAGAGACTCTGGAAAGGAAGAAGTGAAGTTAACCCAATAAATCCCAATTTGGAAGGGATAGGGATGAGAGACAGAGCTGGATGGCAAATGGGAAGAACTACCAGTGACAGAGAGGCCACCAGCTTCTTCTACCGTCTCCTGACAGAAATTCTGAACTGAGATTACATGTGGGCAGCTAAGGCAGCTGAAAGAGGAGTAATAAAAATATCTTGAATCCTGCTGGAATGCCATGTTCTACATTATTTTCCCACCATTCTGGGGGGAGGGGACAAAAACTTCACTATGAATTGCCAGAAAAATACAGTACTGCTACAGACAATTATAAAGTATACAGTAAAGTTCATTCCAGTTAATTACTTTTCCATTTTCATCCATCCCAGGTAACTCCAGGGAGAACTTTCCTGTAGGGCATGAGGGAGGGGAAGGCCTTCAGCACTGAACAGTGATTTCCTGACTGTGGAGGAGCATTAGTCATGCTCCTCATGTCCATAAATGGAGGACAAGCCTACTGATGCTATCCGCTGCATTTAAATCAGGTCTGCTCTAGGGAAGCCCTCAGAGCCAGACTGACTCCATAGCCAGCCTATCCACAACAGAAGCACGACTTCTTTCATTTCCATCTGAGTGCACACTGCTTATAGCTGCGTGGGTCAGTCTGCCATACCAAACCGGGACAAAAAGTCTCTGTGAGGGAAAGTGGAGATCCACATCCTCGGTGTTAGGAAGGAAGTTTGAGGCGGGAATGTAGCTAGTGGTTAAGTGTAATAGGGCTTAGCATGTGTAAAACCCAGGCTCAGATCCCCAGCGCATCCAGGCGTATTATTAATCTTCCGTAGATTACAGCGGTTGGGTACTCATTTATTCTTTCATCCACTTTTCAAATATCCAGGTCCCTACATGATGGGCCAGGCTTTGCGTTTGATGGACAACCCTCACAGAGTTCAAATCATTTTCAAAGACTTCTGTGACTCAGTCACGCCAACTCCAATTTTTAAGTAGAGTTTAGGTTTATGAGTAGACAACCAACTGTACTTCTTTCCTTAGTGAACTCTTACTGATACCACAGGAAGTCAGTATGATGTGGGAGGAGGAACAGTGGGCCAAGAGCTGGAAATCTTGGGTTTGAGTTTCAGGACTTCCTCAAAGGCACTTGGTGATGACAGTGGGCATGTTACTTAACCTCTCTGGCTCTCACATTCCTCTTCTTAAAAGTGAGCAGACAGCTTTAGATTCCTCCCATCTCTAAAATTCTTTCATTCTATATAGTAACACAATCCATGGTTTCCTCTGTGACCAGAATTAGTCTGTTTCTAGCTCGTTTCCTTTTTGTCCTCTTTCAATGTTAGACCAAATATGAACAAGAAGTAATATTTTGTCAGAGCTAACAAACTGCCCTTCCACAAAATGACCTTTGGAGGTCAGGCCAGCCAATGCACAATCTAAATCCAAAGGCAATGGTGTGACCAACTGTGAGCTGGCAGGCTGCCATTCAAAAGGATGGAAATGGGTGTAGGCAGCCAACATTCTTGGCCGGTACATTTTTAATAAACACAGAAAACAAGAATAGCATTTTCCTCTTGGATCACTTAATTTGGTACCCATGCCATTGGGACACTTGCTGTTAGGATAAAGATGATGATGATACACAATTTATTTAGACCAGGATGGATTAACTTTTACAAATAGAAGGTTATGGCATCATTTGCGAGGAATTCTTATTCGTGTTTCTCGTCTCTGATAAGAGATAGTTAGAGTCATCACAGCAGCATTTCCACCTCTTTGGCTGTTGACTTTTATCTGAAACAAGCTCTGTGCATTTACTGCATTGGTATGCATGGACTAAGGAAAGCTGGCGTTACTTGGGGTTGAATGTGTCCTAATTTTTCCCCCAAGATGATTCAATATACATTACTACTCTTAAAGACTTCCATAGCAAATGTTCTTTAACTGTTGAATACTTGAGGTGCAAGCATTTTAAACTACGGTAATTTATACAAAGACAGTGCACCTCACAGCTGAGATGTTTCCTAATCATAGTTTCATGGCTACTGTACTAATAATGCATGGGACCCCTTGATATGTATATTCTCTGTCTCTTCTAGTCATATGGCAACAAGGACATTTGACTGACAAGGCTGTTTTCTCTTCAGTCCTTGGAGATCCTTGAATAAAATGCTCTGTGATGGCAAGCTGTAATTAGCTATGTGGGTGGAAATTAGTGTTCTTCAAGTACACCATGTTTAGGGCAGAGGCACCGTGCTTTTTTCCTACCCGAGGCCACCCTGGTCCGGTGCCACAGCTCTAGGTCACTGCTTCTTGCAGGGCTTCCTTCCAAAAAGCGCATTGTCTTTGTTGAGCTCTGAAACCAGGAGGCTTTTCATAGTTAAAAACAGGTTATGCTGTTCTTCTCCAGACAAGCCAGGCATTGACCAAGGGATGACTATAATGTGTTCGATTTTCATTTGAAGGTGCACACATTCCCAGCACTCATTAACTATCTTTTGAATCGTAGCCCGTTTCATAGGGAACATCAAACTTTTGAATGGATTCCTGCAGTATTGGTAGGTCCTCCATTTTGGATGCAATAGGAATCCCGTAGCAGTGAAACCTTTCTATCCTATTCCAGTCATCTTGAATGCCGCTCCCACAAGCGGGCTATTTGTCCAGTTTAAATTTTTATTAGATTACTGGATTTTTTTTTTTTTCCTTTTTGGATACTAACACTCCCCCACCCCCACCCCCTTTACAAATTCGGGCTTCTCAGACGGCCCCTGCACCATCTGACTGTAGAACATTCGCCGCGTTAGTATTTTACATCTACCTTTTCAAGGAGGTGAGCTCCAGACTAGGTGAAAGACAGAACATTTTAAAATTATCCTCCGTTCCCATCCCTCCCCGCCCCCGGCCGGGATTCCCTTTCAGCTGGTGACGACAGAAAGGGTTCCACGGGCTGCGTCTCTCTCTCTCTCTCGCGGCTGCACAGGGTTCCGCGTGCCTCGGGCCACCGCGTTTCCCGACACCAATGCCTTTAGCTCTGCGTGCGTGCGTGTGTGTGTGTGTATGTGTGTGTGTGCGTGTGTGTGTGCAGTCATCCGCGTGCCGTGCGCGCCTCGCCCGGGTCCCCGCACGCTCGGGGGGTCCTGGGGAACCCGGAGGGTGGGGGGGGGGACGACACGGGACGACGACGACGATGACCACGTTCTGCGTGTTCGGGACTCCCCTCCACCCCGCCCCTCACCCGGGGAGGAGGAGGTGGGAGCGGGGGGGGGGGGGGAAGAGTCGCGCCGCAGCGGGGACGCGCGGGAGGTGGGGACGCCGGCGACTGCGGGATGCCTGCCCGCGCGCCCGAGTCCCCTCCGCGTTCGCGCCGGGCGAGTCACGCCTCCTCGCGGTCCGCTCCCTCCACCTCAGCCTCGGGGCAGCGGGAAAGGGCGGCGGCGGCGGCGGCAGGAGAGCGAGGTCAAGGGCAGAGCGGGCGCCGAGCTCTCTCCCCCCCCCACCTCCCCCCAAGTCCTCGGACCGCAGGGGGCGCGGAGCCGGGTGGGCGGCAACAAAGGGCCGCCGCCCGGGCCGCCCGGGCCGCCGCCCCGCAGTCCCCCTCGCGCGCGCTGCCCCTCGCCCCGGGAGAGAGAGAGAGGGGGAGGGGGGGGGAAGCGGGCGACGCGGGAGCGGCGGGGGCGGCGGGAGGAGGGCGGCGCCTGCGTGCTCCTCCGCCGCCCCGCCCCCGGCGCCCCGCGGCGAGCCCGGCTCTCCTCCCGCGGCTGCAGCAGCTGCCGGTTCCTCACGGCCTCGGCGGCGGCGGCGCGCTCGGAGCGGCCTGTGGAGCGGCGGGCAGCGGGGCGGGCGAGCGAGCGGACGGGCGCGCGGCCCCGGCGGCTCCCGTCTGAGGCGAAGGACGAGGGTCGGCGGGGAGGAGGAGGCGGCGACGCAGGCGGCGGCGGCGGCGGAGGAGGAGGAGGAGGAGGAGGAGGAGGCGGCGGCCGCCGCCGCCGGGGAAGCCGCTCGGCGCCTCGGCCCCCGCGCCCCCCTCCTCACTCAGCCCCGTGGTCGCTCGCGCTCGGCGGGCCGGCGCCGCGCCTCCGCGCGCGGAGATGGTGTAGCCCGGTCGCCGGAGCCGGAGCCGCCTCTGCTCGCGCGTCCCCGCGGCGTCCGCCTCGCCGCCTGAGGAGAGAGAGAGAGAGAGAGAGAGAGAGACCCTCTCTGCTCGGCGTCTCCCGCGCCGGGGGAGCCTCGGCGCCGTCGGCACCATGAGGTGAGGGGCGCGCGGGCCGCCAGCCATTGTGCCGCGGCGGCGCGAGCGCTCTGCGTGGACCCGCCTGCCCCCGGCCCGCGGCGGCGGCGGCTCTCCCGGCTCTTCCCCACTCCCTTTTGTCCCTTCGGGTTTCTCCTCCCCTCCCCGCCCCCCACCCTGCCCTGGCCTTCGGATTTGGGGGAGGGGGTCCGTCCGTGTGCTCCCAGATGCTCTTCTTCCACCCAGGATCCCCCTTCCTCTGTTTAATTTGCCTGCTCCCTCCTTCCCCCCGGCCTCGGCTAGCGAAACCCAGGAGATGGGGAGGGGCTCGACCATCGTAGAGTGGTGGTTGCCGACAGACAGGTATTTGCCGTCTCTATGCAAAACATCCCCGGTACTTTTAGTACAAAGCTGCAGTTAATTTAAAAAAAAAAAAAAAAGAGGGGTGGCGGGGGGGGTGGGGGGGGGGTGGGGGAGGAAAGTTTGAGAGGTCTGAAATCCCTGCGGGGAATAAAGTGCCTCGCTGGTCGGGGTGAAGCCGAGGAGCGGAGGAAGGTGAAATTTCCCGGTGGTGGGGGAAGGGCGAGAATTTACTAGGTTTCCCCTGGCGGGGGCCAGGGGAAGGCTGGGATAAGTTGTTGGAGGTTTGTAAGCCCGGGCGGGGGAGGGTTTTGTTTGGAAAGCCCTTCTCTCCCGTTCTGTAGCAGGCTGTGTTGCATTGCAGCAGGAGCCGCAGCTTTTCCCTTCCTCTGTTACCGGTACCGCGATTCTTTTCTCCAGCCCCGAAGGAAAGAATTGGATGTACCGTCGTGAAACGCTCTCTGATTGATACGATGGAACAGATGGTGTGATGTTTTTCGGGGTTTTTTTGTTTGTTTGTTTCTCCGGTTGTGTAGGAGAATAAAACCGTGATGTGGTGTGTCATTCATTGGAGGAACCCCCCCACCCCATCCCCCCAAGCTTTTTCTAAGCTTGTGTTGTGTCCATGACCTCCTGTTTTTGGATTCGTGCAAGACTTAGTGAGAAATGGGACTTCCTAGACTGAAGGCTGATCCATTTTGCGTTATCATCCTTGAAGGCCTTCGTTTTGGGTTAAACAATCGTGGATGAAGTAAATTACTCCATTTCTTTCTCCTGAGATAGTCTTTCAGTTCATTTGGATTTGAATCTCCTTTGTGTTAAAGATTAATGGCCAGCCGTTGCCAAGACCTTTATAATGTAATGCCACGAGATTTGAATGATACAATTACAAATGCCTTCTCTTTGGCATGAAAATGTTTTGTCATTGGAGTTTTCCCCCCTCATTTTAAGTAAGTCCCGTTTTATAAACTTTAGTTTTTATATTACCCCCCCCCCCCCCCCCCCCCCCCCGCAAATCAAGGTTGAACACAGTCCCGTTTCACTTCTAAGTATTTTGTGTGTTGTGTTCACTTAAGTTGACTATGAATTTTTCCGATTCCAAGTGTCAGATCTTTATTTATGTTAGTCTTAGATTTTTGCTTAATGCTAACTGACCCCTTTTCCTTAGTGATTTCACAAAGCTATTTCAGATGTTTAAAAAGTAATTATGGTGTACAAACCAGAAATCAAGATTTATCTTTGTAAAATGCAGGGCGAGAAACTTCAGTTACATTTTTGTGCATTTTTCTTAAGCTACTGGTGGCCTTGAAAATTCAGGAACTGTTAACAAAATACATGACTGCTCTGTCATATAATATTACATGCTGTTGATTACTACTTTAGTGACTTAATGCTATAGAGGTCTCATAGAACAAGTTAGTATCCTGTTTTTTCAGACTTGGAATAATTTTCCTAACATTAAAAATACAGAATAAAGTAGGGTATTTTAACATGCAATCAAAGCTATCTGAAGGATTATGAACAAAATATATTAAAGTTTGAAGTATTTGGTAAAACTTAAATACCATACATTGTCTGTCTCAGGTAAATTATGTCTGGACTTAAAAGTTCTAGTTTCCAGTAAAATGTAACTTTGTTTTTTAAGCCATTTTCTTGCTGTCTTTCTTACTAGTTACAGAGAAATTACACTGCAGTATTTCCAGTAGCATGAACATAGAACATCCTCCCCAGGTCTAAGATGTTTGAGCAGTCTACAGTAATTCTTTGTAGGCTGATTTTGAATAATTTAAGAGCAGAAAAGAGGACCAGCTAGTTTTTCACTTTGAAAGACTTTGGATTGTTTGGTAGGTGGTGTGTGCAGCTTGGGCGTGAGCAGTTACTTAGGTAGCTGTGAGTGTAGGATAGCTTGGTATGAGGTAAAAACCGCCAGTGCTGGAAGCAGTTATTGGAATATTTTGGTGTTTAAGAAAGGACTTTTGCTAGTATTTAATCTCAGATGCTGTAGGAAGTAAACGTTAACCTTTTAATGGAATTTTTTTTTTTTTTTTTTTTTTTTTTTTGGTTTTTCGAGACAGGATTTCTCGGTGTAGCTTTGCGCCTTTCCTGGATCTCGCTCTGTAGACCAGGCTGGCCTCGAACTCACAAAGATCCGCCTGCCTCTGCCTCCCGAGTGCTGGGATTAAAGGCGTGTGCCACCACCGCCCGGCTTAATGGAATTTTTTTTAAGTTAAGTGAAGGATCGTTTTAGTGTTTCAAAGACCATCTAGAAATAGGAATATTGAGTAGGAATTTCTATTTAAGTTAGTCAGAACTCAGAAGAAATAAGTATCTTACAGTATTGAGTATTTGTTCTAAGATCTCTCAGATGTTTTAATTTTAGGAACAGCATGTTATTGTCACAATGTAATCTTATACAGAAGGAAACTAAATACTTTACATTCCTGAAAGTCATAAGACATGCCACGCTCCACATTTAAATGCTGTATATAGGTTTATTAAATTTTGATTAGAGGTAGACAGTAAAAAAAGGAAAAAAAGAAGATGGTTTAGTGTTTACACAGGACAATGGAAGAGTTGAGGAGAAAAGCCACAAACCCCAAAATACCAAGCTGGTTTTTGTAGTAGCCTGTTGAGTTTTTGGTTCTATTCTTTTATTTGTGTAATGTTTCAAAAGAGTATGATTCTTTGTGATTGAAAAGTGTATGTTTGGGATTGTGTCTTTTAAACACTAGTTGGTCACTCAAAATTTTATCTTTTACTTTTTTTTTAACAGAAAGAAGAGCCTGTTAGAGTTGAAATACTTACTAGTTCCTTATAGTCTGATCTCTAGGATGAGCTCAGAAAATTTTGGATTGACCATTTTGTGCCATATTGTATGGTCCAGGCTACCGGAACACTAGATACACAAGACTTTCTTATGTAAAAAAGCATAATGGGGTTGTGAGGGTTTGACCAAAGCTACTTACTACTTAATGAGTGATCCTGAGCTAAGCATATAATTTCACTCTCTCTCTCACACACACACACACACACACACACACACACACACACACACACACACACACACCATATATACAGATCATGGTAAATAGCAGTATATATGTATATAGTTTGTTTGCTTTTTGAGACTGGGTCTCAGGTATTCTATCCTGGCTTCGGACTCAAATGTATAACTGAGGATGACTTTAATTCTGATTTTCCCACCTCTCCCATCAGAATGCTAGGATTATGGACTTGTGGCAACATGGACAGCTTTATGCTGTGCTGGGAATTGTATGCAGGGCTTGCTACATACTAGACAAGCATTCTGCCAACGGAATACATCTGTGCCCCCAGTGTATAGAGAGTTAATTCCTTACTGAATTTTGAGGATCAGATAATAGAAGATGCTTTGTGAGCTTCCCTTGTTTTAAGATTAAAAACTCATTTTAGACTAGTTGCACAAAACTTTTGGGCAGTTTGCTTCACCATTGGCCTTATTAAAGGATGTCAAATAGGTTACATTTTGCTAATGTAGTCCAATAGGTAGTGGCTAATATGCAGATAAGGCATTGATACATTTCTGGGATTGATGAGGAAGAATGCCATGTATTCATTAGTACTGTTTGCTTGAGATATGGGTTCAGAGAGTGGTTACAGGAATACTACTTATCAAACGTTTTATGCCCAGCTGTATTGGTTAGGTGAAGGAAACTTTTTTCAGCTTTCTTTCTGTGTATATGTTTGGTCTTTGAAACTTTTTATGGTTTTGCTACCTTAATTTATAGTAACAATAAATTTAATACACATTTGAGAGAAGTACAGTCAAGGGACAGAAAATTCAGGTTATCTGAACTGTCTTGTTAATTGAATATATTGGTAAAAAGATAATCCTATTTCACAGGATTGTGGTATCAAGTTATAGATCCATGAAAGGATGTAAATAGTAGTCTCCCCTCCCATGGGTCCCCATTTATGCTTGCAGCTGATGAATAAGTGACCCTTGCACAGATATTTATTTTAGAAGTAGGAGCCACATCTTCATTTTTTTTGAATGTTAATATTATAGGTGTTAAGTGAATAAGCCTTGAATAAGAGTGTGGATAAATAGATAAAATTTAACTTATATAAAGTACTCAGGGTTTGGGGTATTTTATTAATCCATTTGGAATAAGCAAAATAATTAGGCTCCATTTGGCCAGTAAAGAGGAAATTATATTAATCGTTTTAATATTTTATCCTACATACAACTTTAGATCAGGGGTTATTATGTAACTTTTAAAATACCCAGTCTTTATTGTGATAGTAAGGAAGTATTTGGAAAAAGGAGTGTCGGTTGTAGTTGTGAGCTAGTAAATAGATACTTAAACCCTTATGTTTCCTTTCTTACCCCCACTTGACACCGTCTTTTAAATTAATGAGTAGAATTGAGGGGAAATAAAACTTAAAGATGATCTGAGTTGAGGAACCACAGGAGATGCCTCTCCAAATATAAGTTTGAGAATTTTGCTTTATGGGAAAACACAAAGAGCCCAGTCTTCCTTGTGATACCTTCTGAGATGTAGTCCCTAAATTGTCTCCCTCCCTTCCTCCCTCCCTCCCTCCCTTCCTCCCTCCCTCCCTCCCTCCCTCCCTCCCTCCCTCCCTCCCTTCCTTCTCCCTTCCTCCCTTCCTCCCTCCCTCCTTCCCTCCCTCCTTCCTTCCTTCCTTTTTCCTTTGGTTCTAAAGGATCTAATACTTTACTCCCAAGACGTACCACGAGCCCAGCGCTCTGCATTTTCATATCTGCGTTACCAGTAAAATACTTGGCAAATACTGTCTATATCCAAATGTGTTTGACTTTGTGTGGTATTCTTTTAGAATCTTACGTACTAACAGTAATAGTCACGGTTTTGGAGTGCCTTGTAACATTCTAGAACTGTACTGGGTACAGCTCTGGTAGGATGTGGTGTAGTATTGCAGATATAAGTACTAATAAAAATTAAACAAATTAAACAAAACCCAGCATCACTACTACAAGATGG